TTAATTTAACCCTCCCGTTGTCCTAGGGTCAAAATGACCCGCCACTGTGTTGAACCAACTTTATTCAATTTTTATATTTTTGGGATCATTTGTGAGAAGGAGGCAGTGAGACTTTAAAGAAAGTATCACTGCCTCCTTCTCACAAATGATCCAAAAAATATAAAAATTAAATAAAGTTGGTTCAACACAGTGGCGGGTCATTTTGACCCTAGGACAACGGGAGGGTTAACATTTTTGCACACATGCACAGCTTTACATGCTGATCACAACATACTGATACTATGAAGAAGTGTTAAAATGTGTTAATTGTAACGCAGTCAAGGTCTCAAGATATTTGAGGGTTATAGAAACAAACAACTGGACCTAATCTCACTTTACCTTTGTCTTTTTCAGTGCCACATAAATAAGACAGTGTATAAGGATGATCTCATACTAACTTTTACTTTGACAATGCACTGAAAATGTTATGTCTCTTATTAGTTTCAAGATTCCAAGTGCAAGGGTTTGCAAGCTTGTGATTACAGCTTGACGACCAGAGTTTCATTTTAGATTGGAGTCCAAATGATTCAAAGAGATACCTTATTTAATCTACCCTTTTATCGAACTCACTGACAGTTTGTGGTCAAGAATCGGAGGGATCTCTGACTCGAGGACCTAAAAGGACATCAATAATGATGGCTATAGGAGTGCACTTCTGGGGATGACATGGCCGAGTGTCTCACTGTGTCTCGGGGAGAGAGAGGGAGGATGGCTAATAAGGGTTTAAAAGCCACAACTGTCCACCTGGCCCCTTAGCAGACCACCTGCTGTCTTTTTCCCAAAGTGCACCCTGATTATTTCTGACAATGGGAGATTTGTGGTTGCAGGAGACCACAGGGGCCAACAGTTATGTTAGCATCAAACAAACAAAGGCTTAAGACAAATGAGTCAGACTAATTAAAGTTTAGGGGGAACTTTTTTGCTTCCTTTTTTAAATTCAAACTGCAGAGAAAAAGAGAAATACTTTAACTTGATTTATTGATGGAAATTCCAATGTGACGTCTGGCAAACAACATATAAATAACTTAAAGGGCATCTTAAATGCATTCCCATAAAATGTTTAGTCCCACTGTAATATAAGCCACTACCTGTCATGAATCACAAATAACCTTGGCTCTATCCTCTTAGTTCAGCTCAGTGAGCTTCATTCCTTATTACTGGCCTGACAGGGAAATGTTTACCCATCCGACAAGAGAGATGCCATTTCATAGTCACAAAAAGCAATTGCATCTGACTGGGGCAGCACACTCTGTCCCCATATCCTTGCTGGCTGTCATTTTGTGTGCTGTGATCACATCATTGATGTGACCGTGCCGGGCATTAGGTAAAGTCCCTGAGCTGGTGCTCACTTTCAGGCTTTTTCTCTCCTTGTCATCCACATTGATTAGATTAGACCCAGGTGGCAAACATAGTTTCTTGGGACAACATGGAAAAGGAGGATGATACCTTTCTTAAAGAAACCATACCTTTGACTAAACATTCAGAGTAAAATGTTAGAAAGATGATACTGTATGTATGTTAGCATTATGTATTTTAATGTATTTATAATTGTTTGAATGAGATCATTTAAAAAGAAACCAGGCTAGCAGCCATAAGCAGATCTGTTGGTGAGGTGTACTCTGACTGTAACTAACATTTAGTTTGTTTTATGCTAACATTGATGCCTACAGGTAAAGTTTCTTACAAAATATAAAAAATGTTTTGATCAAATAGGCACTATTGTTATTTTATATCTTCCATTATAATCAATTTCAAGAATGCTTATTGTTATAACAGATCCAACTTTCATTATGTCATATTATTTAATATTGTCTTCATATATTCTGGTCAGTGGAGGGTGTTTGCCAAACATAAGGTATAGTCCCTCCCTAACCTGCACAATGACCTCCTGAGGGACTGTCTGGCCTTGGCATGGATAATCATCCTGGTCCCTCTGTGGTTATGGCCACTAGCTGGGCTAATAAGAGCAAAGTACTGGGGCTAATAACAAACAAATGGGAATAGAGCATGGGGAGAAAACTAACTACGGTGCTGCTGCTTCATGGATGATTCAACAATTGTCTGAATCTAAAAAAGCAAGCCCAGTTTGCTTATTAAAGGAAAACTCCACCCAAAAACTATCTTTCAAAATACAGAAATCATACCCCTACGATGCATTTTGAATCATATGATGCTGCGTTTTGCATCATATGATGCAAAATGCATCATTCAGGGATGATTTCTGTATTTTGAAAGTTACATATCTTGGAAACTTGATTGCAGACAAGCAAACCATTTTGGGACTATGTCAATAATGGACGAATGAAACAAATACCAAAATATAGTTTTTGAGTGGAATTGTCCTTTAAAGATCAGTGATGGAAGTGAACCATAATCCTGTAATGAGGAAGAGAAGGCCTGTGCCAGTTCCTGGTTTGAGGCACAGGCAAGACCATGCTTGTACGTTTCACAGGAATAGATTACTGGACACTATTGCCCTGCTGTAATGACCTCTCGTGTTAGGCTCACAGGTGCACAGCTCTTCATTAGAATACAAAGCCTTTCACCTCTACTGGAAACCAAACCTTTCCGAGATGGGGGCTTGTTTGCACTGTTCAATTTGGCTTGTTTAAGGTTCTAACACACACTTTATGCAACTTTATTGAAACAGAATGCAACATTTGTGTATGTTCAGTATACTGATGCTTGATGCTTTATTTCAAGCCTGGCTGTTTTCCCCCTGAAATATAATGTTGATGACTCAAGAAAACACAGGAAAGTTTTATACATCAAAAGTATTGTGTTTATTTTAATTCAGTCAAGCTTGAAATGATTTAAATGGTTTCTAAATGTAGTAACAATCAAATTATAAACGACTTACTATAATATTTAATATTTCTTATAACAGTAAAATAAATATGATCATACTTAGTGACTGTACAAAATTGTCCCCATTTAATATAATTGATGACAGAAAATGTTCTGTCCAGCCTCCCCTGAGTGAAGCGGAGACGTGCTAACTCATTATAACTTCAGCTTTAAGCACTAAGTGATTTCATCCCTCTGTGACCAAGAGAAAGTGGGATTGTTTCAATTCTACTAAATTATTATATATATTTTTTCTTCATATTTAGAGCTCTAAATCCATCAGAATACATCCAAGCGAGATTATGCTGCTTTTGCTGCAATTGCTAGGCTCTCCATTTCAAATGCCTCATATGCCTTATTGTAAACTGAGCTGCAAGGGTCACAGCCAGAGGACGTCGAGCCTTTGTCTGGATAGGCCAGAAAATGTGACATGCCGCTCCCTATGCAAATGAGGTGTGAGATTTCACATAAGGCATCTCAGACGAGAGCAGAGAGCGGCGGACAACCAGAGCTTTCACCGAGTACACAGAAATTGATGTAGCGTCATTCACAGAGTGCTATGTACACAAAAATGTCAGTGGGAACCGTTCCAGAACCGCTCAAAGTCCCCTAAATAGATAACTTAATGTTTAAGATTAACACACAACTGTGAACACTGCACATGATGGTTACTGATTTGAGTTCTCTAAATCTAGCTGTTGAGGAGGAAATGATGGCAGCCAAACAGCCAAAAAATATCATAGTGTTGCTATGGAGCTTTTTATTTTTTTTATTTTTATCCACTTCAAGAAATAATTAATCGCCTGAGTTTTCAAAGAGACATTTAATACAAAATATTGGGCTAAATCTCACATTTGGATAACCTATAATGTATTTCAGTCAATAAGTAAGTAAATAGTTGGAGTTTTGCCAGCCCTGTAAAGCAAGACACAGCATCGTCTTGGCTCAGTCTGGACCACAACGTTCAGGTTGGATTTTGTCCAATGACGCTGTCACACTGCCCATGCACATCAATGACGCTCTCATACGGAAAACAGTCAAGATGACAAGATGAAATCGACCTTTAATGCAGAAATATTTTTTGAGGAATATCAGATTTTCACTTTTTCCCTGTGTATAATGAATTAGGCCTATAACTGCTAATCAAACAATAAAACTCAAGAGTCCACTCGTTTAATAATAACAGTGCTATGTTATAACATCATTGAACAAAATCGCATGAATTGCTAAGATTTTATACATTTGTTAAAATTCTGAAATGTCATTAAAATTGGGTGAAATAACTTCCCTTTGCTCGAAATCCATCAAATTTCAAAAATATTTTTCATAACGTTATTTGATTGTGTTTTTTTCCATTCTTGCTGATTTTGATGGTGTTTTTTATTTGTCATTGCACTCACTGTTATGAGTGTTCTGATTCATAACTTTAGACCAGTGTAATGAAATATTTATCTTCAGAGGAACTGCATGATTTCACGCTATCACAAACATTTTAAATCATGAAGTGCACTGCCTGTCATTGCCTGTCGTTTTTGGTATGTTCATGATATAATTGTGTTTCCCCGGTAGACATACTTTGCCACTCTTACCAGATGAATAGGTAAATAACGCATATTTCCCTTAATAATGTAAAAATCTACAGGGGAAAAACGTAACTTTATGTTTCCGGAACGCCTATTTTTGTTAATATTTATATGAGCATGTGGCAATGCATCATAAAGATAATACAAAAATTAACATGAGTGTGATATCTACACAAATATATCACATAAAGTAAAATGTTATCATTTTTAAGGACATGATGCTGATTGATTGTCTCTACAAGCAAATATGGTTTATGGGCAAAGCCCTCATGATTATCCTAATTAAAAGCTGTCTAATTAAATTATTGTCTTGAGCTAACCAATAGCAATAGTTGTTTCATTAGCATTGCATGAAGAGTGATGAAAAGCAAATCCTTCCTGATTGCAGGATAGTGTCAATTGGCTCATTTGCTCTCTTACTCAAAGTGACGGAAAACATAGGAAGGCGATTCTTTTGGGTGTGTTATGTAGAGTTAGGAGTGGGCAAAAGCTTGCGATTCCATATAGGTTGCGTTAATAGTGTTGAGAGCTATGCAGCTCGAGAATTGCATTTTGCAAGCTAGTGGGCTCTCCAAGAAATGTCTGAATGTGGGCAGTGGCTACCCAAGCTCAGATGGATCTGAGCTCTCCTTGCAGGACCATCCTATTATATCTGCTAGTGACAACCTGGAGAGAAGTTCAACTCTGAAAAAAAATTCCAGGGGGATGACGAACCAGTCAGAGGCAGACAATTTCCCCGACTCCAAGAACGCATCAGGGGACGTCCAGAGAGGCAAACTCTCGCCTGATCTTCACGGAGTCTCTGAAATTCGTCATAATTTCGATGGATCTACAGGAGAAAGGTATATCCTTTCGCAATCTAGCCAACCACAGTCAGTCTCAGCAACTCCAAGTGCTATGTTCCCCTATCCGAGTCAACATGGACCAGCGCACCCGGCTTTTTCTATTGGGAGTCCGAGTCGTTATATGGCCCACCATCCAGTCATCACTAATGGAGCGTACAACAGTCTTCTGACCAACAGCTCTCCGCAAGGCTACCCAACCGCGGGTTACCCATACGCCCAACAGTATGGACACACTTATCAAGGAGCGGCGTTCTACCAGTTTTCCTCCGCGCAAGCTGGGCTGCTGCCTGGGAAAGCGCAGGTGTATCTGTGCAACAGGGCCCTGTGGCTGAAGTTTCACAGACATCAAACAGAGATGATAATCACCAAACAAGGACGGTAGGTATCCCCAGCTACATTAATTTGATCACAAGTTTGGTATAGCTTGTGAAGTAATACGCATCAGTCCGATTTGTTTTAAATAAGGAAGGGCATTGCAATTGCAATTCGTTCAATATATTACCTTTATTATAAATTACAATTTAACATTTTTAACGGACTGTGTTTTTCTTTAATTGTTTCACTAATACTTTCAAATTGGGTAAATCATCAAATGTTGGACAGGGTCTATTATGCAGGACATTTACACCGATCTTTAGTGTTACCACCTGACCAAATATTATTTACATATTTTCAATTATTACCCGCAGACGAATGTTCCCCTTTTTGAGTTTCAACATTTCTGGTCTGGATCCGACGGCGCACTACAACATATTTGTGGATGTTATTCTTGCCGATCCAAATCACTGGCGATTCCAAGGTGGCAAGTGGGTACCATGTGGCAAAGCGGACACCAATGTGACAGGTAGGCCTAGGCTCCTCTACATCTCTGTGAACAATACAGTGATGATAATGGTTGATAATTAAGAGTAGCTTATATTATAAAAATAATAATAATCTTATGTTGATTCTGCCGTGCCAAGCTTACACGCAACATTAGGCTAATAAAATCAAACAATGATATCATCGAATTAATGTAATTGAAAATCAATATTGTGATTTGTATGATATTTTGTAAAAACAATGCATTTCAATGTAGGCTTTGTCATTTCTTTGTTTCCCACAGGAAACAGGGTGTACATGCACCCTGACTCTCCAAACACCGGTGCGCACTGGATGCGCCAAGAAATCTCATTTGGAAAGCTGAAGTTAACGAACAATAAAGGAGGCTCAAACAACACGGGACAGGTCAGCTACGACCTTGTTTGAATTTGAGATATAGGCTATAAAACAAAAAGTAAAATATTATGATCAGAGACTTTCAAAGACCCTCAATTGACTATTGAGCGGTGTGCATGGAGACAGTTTGTTGCGCACACCTTATGCAGTTATTACACAATATGTATTAGGTCTTTCTCCAATGATACATCACCATCAAAATTCCAAATAATAGTTTTCATAAAATGTCTTATAAAAAACGAAATCCTGTCTTCAGTTTGGGTCATTCAGCCTACATCACGGCGTATTGGCTCCAAATTTAGGTCGAAATTGACAGTGGTCATTTATGGAATATCTTCCTTACTTGTACCTCCAGATGGTGGTTCTACAATCGCTTCACAAGTACCAGCCAAGGCTCCATGTGGTGGAAGTCAACGAAGACGGAACGGAGGACTCCAGCCAACCTGGAAGAATACAGACGTTCACCTTCCCAGAAACACAGTTCATCGCAGTCACAGCTTACCAGAATACCGATGTAAGAAAATCTGATTGATGATAATTCCATTCGTTAAGTATTCTAGTATTGTTGCCTATCGAAAGACACATTTCGTTTGGCATATTAGGATTTGCAACGTAATTAGGACTGAACAACTGTATGCACCTATTCCTAAAATCTGCCTCCTGTTTTTTGTGCAGATTACCCAGCTAAAAATCGACCACAATCCATTTGCTAAAGGATTTCGGGACAACTATGACACGTAAGACTATTTGTCATTTATTATTTGTGCTTTATCCCTTCTCATTATGAAACAGTTTGTTTTGCTTGGTTCCTCTTCTCTCCGAGGCAATGCAAATGATAGAGTTTATGTTAATGAAGTGTAGCATAGGCTACCTCATAATTTTTTGCTCATGTTACATTTAAATGTAAAGAAATTTCAATGGCAGGAAAACTTTATTTTGTGTCCTCGTTGATCAAGTTCACATTTTCTTTAATATCAATGGGGACACATTTGATCATACCCACTGGGCACACACTGGTTGAATCAACGTTGTTTCCACGTCATTTCAACGAAATTACGTTGAACCAACGTGGACTAGAAGTTTACCCAGTGGGTAAGCGTTATAATTTGGAGTAGGCCTCTGCACAATCCAATATAATTACCACATTATAATGGTGACAATTTGATCACGACATTGGATAAATGATTACATTTATTTGCTGATGTCACCTCCCTAAAACATAGTTTATTCTGCATTTTTATCAAATTAGCCATGAACAAAGTTTGTTCCATTCTTGCACATCACATTGGCAGTGACAACCTTTGCCCATGGTGATTCATCATTTGTTTGTCTGTTTCTTCCTCGTCTTTTCAGTGTCTACACAGGTTGCGACATTGACCGATTAACGCCATCCCCGGGTGACTCGCCTCGCTCTCAGATCATGCCTGGTGCGAGATATGCCATGGCTGGTTCTTTCCTACAGGACCAATTTGTCAGCAGTTATGCCAAATCTCGCTTTCACCCTGGCGTAGTGACTGGACCTGGCACGGACCGCAGCGTCCCACTTAGTAACAGCTTGCTATCCCCGCAACAAACCGAAGAGCCCACAGTTGCATCCCCGCAGCGATGGTTTGTCACCCCTGCCAATAACCGACTGGACTTTGCCGCCTCGGCGTACGACGCTGCCGCGGCTGCTGATTTTGCCGGTAACGCGGCCACCCTGCTGTCCTACGCAGCAGCTGGAGTAAAGGCACTTCCACTGCCCACTGCAGGGTGCTCAAACAGACCTCTAGGTTACTATGCCGACCCATCCGGCTGGGGCACACACACACCACCCCAGTACTGCAATAAGTCTAGCTCTGTGCTCTCTTGCTGGCCAACAAATTCTGTTGGCAGAACAGGCACCTCCAACTACCTGGTTGATGACGCGGACACCATCCCAACAGAAAGGTCACCCATCGGAGGGTCTAATGAGGCAAAACCAAAAGACTTATCCGAATCCAACTGGATAGAGACGCCGTCTTCAATGAAGTCGATTGATTCAAGTGATTCTGGTATTTTTGAGCGAGCTAAACGGAGAAGAATCTCACCGTCTGCTACACCGGTTTCGGAAACAGTGTCCCGGTTGAAATCTGAGATCTTGCCTCCAAGAGAGTGTGAGAAAAATTGCGCCAAGGACATTGGTTACTATAGTTTCTATCCACACAGTTAGACAACCACAAAACGGGAGGGAAATGGTGTTCTATTTAGATTAATCTATCTTTATATGCAACCGATAATATCCAACTGATAGGCCGCTCAGTTGCAATGCACACCCTGTCTTGGACCAACATTGACAACGATTTAAAGATGTCGGCATGTAGCGCACAGGCCTACTGGGGAAATGTAGGCGATATTGTTCCATTTAACGTAATTCGTTTGCTATCTAATAGCTGAAGGCCTACATACAGTAGCCTATTTATTTAATTTAAACTAGTTTTAATCAACAACTATTGTCTATTGTAATTATAAAATTGATGTACATAATAGGCTATTTAACCATTTAGTGATATTGTGAAATGATTGTAAACTATTGAATTGATTTGTAAGATTTTGAAGTATAGAAATACTCGTTGGTTGTGTTTTAAAAACGCACATCGGCCTATGCTATAGTCAAGTGATCTCATACAATGTGATTTAAAAAAAAACATCGACAGTCTATGATGGCTATTTCGTTGTGTAACAGAGCGAGATCTGAGTACATGTAGCCTAATTATTTATGTTCCCATTGTAGTACTCTTTGTCCATAATGTTCAATCACAGTGTCAGTACAACATATTCAGATGTTAGACATTTGAGGACACAGCCATTTTATCAAACTCAAAATAAGACGGAAATTCATTATAGGTGTGGTAATAAACGTTATAAATATTAATATAGTGTAATTTTTACTACATTAATAAGAGAAGAAACATGTAATTTTCAAGTCTTTCTCTGACCATTCATTATTTTTTATAGATTGTGTTGTATGTGAAAGCTTCTGTATCTGCTGTAATGTGCTTCATTACAATAAACGATATAAATGCTAATTACCTGGAGCAAGATGCTATCATCCTTCTAAATCCAAACTAGCCTATGCATGAACCAATGACGAAATAATATTTAATTTTTTTGTGGCTCTAGTTCATATTACAGGCCTGCAGGTCACCGGTTTAAAACAGCAGGGACCATATAGCCTAACCAGGCTCGTACAGAGGGGAATGGAGGTGCTGGACCACTTTCCCAAAAGGTGCGAAATTATGCGGAAATACAAGATAAGCATGCATCTCAGACAGAGGCTATATGTGATTTATGTTTTGTTCATTGTATTTTTAACTCAAATGTATAGCCTATCGATGGATAGAGATAGATGGATATATACAGTACCAGTCAAAAGTTTGGACACACCTACTCATTCAAGGGTTTTTCTTTAGTGAAGACATCAAAACTATGAAATAACACATATGGAATCATGTAGTAACCAAAAAAGTGTTAAACAAATCAAATATATTTTATATTTGAGATTCTTCAAAGTAGCCGCCCTTTGCCTTGGTGACAAATTTGCACACTTGACATTCTCTCAACCAACTTCACCTGGAATGCTTTTCCAACAGTCTTATTTAACACTTTTTTGGTTACTATATAATTCCATATGTGTTATTTCATAGTTTTGATGTCTTCACTATTATTCTACAATGTAGAAAATAGTAAAAATAAAGAAAAACCCTTGAATGAGTAGGTGTGTCCAAACTTGTGACTGGTACTGTACATGTTCATGAGAGTCTCAGCTTTCCATGGCTAATGCTGTGTTCTTATGCTCAAACACAGGGATGGAAATTAAGCTAGCCCGCTAGCCCGCTAGCCCGCTAGCCCGCTAGCCCGTGGCTAGTACTTTTCAGACAGGGCTAGTGAAAAGTGTATTTTCAACTATCGCATGACACAGATTTTGGACCAGGCCAGTGACAAAAATCCTTAAGTTCCATCCCTGCTCAAACATGATAACAAAATCAATACTGCTAAAATCATTGTTTTTGGAATTTTAAATTCTCCCTGATGGTCTAGCTTTTTGTTTGGTGAGTGTTATATTATTACTAAATCTATATGTCTATTATCTTTTCTACATACTTTATATCTGGTTTTAGTCATTTAAGTTTACACTGAAAGCGTTGTTCTATCCCGAGAATTTAAAAAATATATATATATTTTTGGTTTGTTTTGTTTTTTACACTGTTTGGACTTAGGTGGCATGAAAAACGCTTAGACAGCCCACCGGATGTCCAAGGATTACAATGGCAGAAACCCCCTGGTTAAGAGTAAGAACACAGTTTCTAGGAAAATATTGGTATTTCAGTTGTGATTGGGGTATATTGACCAAATTATCAGGACATTTTTGGATGTATTTTCCCTTCATGTCCACGGAGTGTTGACACCGGAGCCCATTGACCTTCACCCCCCCCCCCCCCCCCCCCCCCCAATATGCAACACAAAGTTAGGCCCTGTGCAATATAAAGGGGATACAGTGCCATTTCAGAGAGAGAGAGAGAGAGAGAGAGAGAGCATAAGTTATTCACACAGATCATGAAGAATATTATGGGGCTAGGCTATGCAAGCATTATTTTAAGTCACTGATGGTGAGTTAGGCCAAGGGCACCATTCAAGGGCCCCATTCAAGTGTTCACAGAAAAGGCTAATAACCCCATTTCATCACTTGGAGAAAGCATGCTTTATCTTCACAGTAAACAGTGCACATCCAAAACACATCCACAATTGTCTTACCCTGGAAAACTTTGGTAAACCTTTGGATACAGGTTTTGATGTAAAATAGTCTCTTATATTTATACACTTACATCAAAACCGATGACAGGGACAATACAAACCGTCTCCTCTGTTAAATCAAATCAAATCAAATCAAATTGTATTTGCTTACTTACAAGCCCTTAACCAACAATGCAAAGTAAAAAAAAGAAAAAAAAAGTGTTAAGCAAAAAAAATAAAAGCAAATAACTAAAGAGCAGCAGTAAAATAAAATAACAGTAGGGAGGCTATATACAGGGGGGTACCGGTGCAGAGTCAATGTGCGGGGGCACCGGCTAGTCGAGGTAATTGAGGTAATATGTACATGTGGGTAGAGTTAAAGTGACTATGCATAAATAATAAACAGAGTAGCAGCAGAGTAAAAAAGGGGGACGGGGTGGGGGTGGGGGGGGGCAGTGCAAATTGTCCAGGTAGCCATGATTACTCAGGACATGTAAGCCTACATACTGTATCTACACAACTGTGATCTTGTGGCTATCACGATACATTGCATGTTAATTGGTGTACTTATTCAGTATCTTTTCAGTATCTTTTCAGTATCTTTTAGGTAGACAATACAAACATAAGTAATCATTTAGTTATATGAGGACTATTTAGCTATGCAAGGCATTCTCAAATACAGTGTAACTTTTCACAATGATTATTGATCAATATTCTGGTCTAAATTCTGCAACAATATCTCAAATCAAATCAAATCTTATTTGCTACATGCGCCGAATACAACAGGTGTAGACCTTACAGTGAAATGCTTACTTACAAGCACTTAACCAACAATGCAGTTTTAAGAAAAGAAAAAACGTGTAAAGTAAAAAAATGGATAAGTAAAAAATAAAAATAAAAATAAAAAGTAATTAAAGAGCAGCAGTAAAATAAAATAACGGTAAGGAGGCTATATACAGGGGGTACCGGTACAGAGTCAATGTGCGGGGGCACCGGTTAGTCGAGGTAATTGAGGTAATATGTACATGTGGATAGAGTTAAAGTGACTATGCATATATAATAAACAAAGTAGCAGCAGCGTAAAAGAGGGGGTGGGGTGGGGTGGTGGGGACAATGCAAATAGTCCGGGTAGCCATGATTAGCTGTTCAGGAGTCTTATGGCTTGGGGGTAGAAGCTGCTGAGAAGCCTTTTGGACCTAGACTTGGCGCTTCGGTACCGCTTGCTGTGCGGTAGCAGAGAGAACAGTCTATCACTAGGGTGGCTGGAGTCTTTGACCATTTTTAGGGCCTTCCTCTGACACCGCCTGGTATAGAGGTCCTGGATGGCAGGAAGCTTGGCCCCAGTGATGTACTGGGCTGTACGCACTACCCTCTGTAGTGCCTTGCGGTCGGAGGCCGAGCAGTTGCCATACCATGTGGTGATGCAACCAGTCAGGATGCTCTCAATGGTGCAGCTTAGAACTTTTTGAGGATCTGAGAACCCATGCCAAATATTTTCAGTCTCCTGAAGGGGAATAGGCTTTGTCGTGCCCTCTTCACAACCGTCTTGGTATGTTTGGACCATGATAGTCTGTTGGTGATGTGGACACCAAGGAACTTGAAGCTCTCAACCTGTTCCACTACAGCCCCGTCGATGAGAATGGGGGCGTGCTCAGTCCTCTTTTTTTTCCTGTAGTCCACAATCTCCTTTGTCTTGATCACGTTGAGGGAGAGGTTGTTATCCTGGCACCACACGGCCAGGTCTCTGACCTCCTCCTTATAGGCTGTCTCATCGTTGTCGGTGATCAGGCCTACCACTGTTGTGTCGTCGGCAAACGACGGCAAACGACTCAGTGTATCTAATTGATGCTGTTCCATTCATATACACCAGAGGGCATCAAATACTTTCCCAAATATGAGAATGAGCAATAATTGAGATGAATCAGTCAAAACAGCATCAACATCGCCAGTTGACTGAATTATTGTATTTATTATGATGCCTAGCAGCAGGCATTGTGCCAAGCAAGGAGTGATGGTGTTTGTGGTGGATGGTGAGCTCTTTCTGAGGAGGACATGGGATTGGTACAGAGCATAAGGGATGTGTTGCTTAGAGTGGGAGCACAGTGAAACTTAAGGGAGGGCAATGTGGGCTTCCCCCTTGATGCTCTTTTATGCTGAGAACCAAGGAAGAGATGCTGCCATGGCTTTTGAACCAAGGCCAAGTTGGACACTGAATTTGGACGGAGGGAGCATGGCCCAGTAGTGAGCGGGTGTGACCAGTCTGAGTAGTGGGATGTCCTAACTTGGTAATCTTCAGGGCCTGTCTTCATAAAGGGGGTCTCAGAGTAGGAGTACTGATCTAGGATCAGATTCCCCCTGTCCATGTAATCTTAATCAATTATGAGAATAAACGGTTAAACATTCCCCCCCCTTCTCATAGTATTTTTTTTTGGAAAGTTGAAGCTCATTTTCTGAATTTCTATACAATTAAAAAACGTTAAAATGCTATTTGGAGAACAGCAAAAACAACCCAAAATGACCCCAGCCATTATCACCTTGGCTGCTGTAGGTTCATTCACCTCAGTTGATGTACAAACACATAGCCTATTAGCTATACGATTGTAATGTTATACCCCTGAAAGGTGAATGATTCACACTGACACGTAGCATCAGCGACTGTTCAGTCCATTGTAATGATGAATTGCATAAAATCATCAACCCTTTACATAGATATCGCGTTTCTAAAATTACGTAGTGTTCGCATTTGTATTCCTAGGCATTATTAATCAAGCTCTGCAACAAAAAGACATCAATA